TAATATTATTATATTATTTTATTATTTTTTATTTGTATTATTTTATTATTTCCATTCTACGTGACTTTACCGAAAGAACCAAGAAGATGAATCCCTGCAGTCACGAAAGCTTTAAATCGAAATTTAAGGTCTGATCAGTATGGGCAAACCTTTGTGACGTGTAGCGTTCATGTAACGTCGAGCACATTCATGATTGTTTTGTATCAACATGCTTCATGTTTATTGTCGGCAATCCCAGTTTGATCCCTCAGCGCGGCTAACATCAGTGGTGAGGGATATCTGAACGGGCCCTGACCCCACTACCGCCACACGACTGCCCCCTCCCTTTCCCATTCAATAATCCCTCGCTGACCAGAATGGCGAAGTGTGGTGAAACTTCCCGAATGATTGGACATGGAGCAAGAATGCCTTCATCCAGCAGTGGATTGACAAAGTGCCTGAAAATTACTTCAAACATGACAGGACTCCATGATTGCCAATAAGATTGGATAATCCGGCAGCATGTTGAACAAGCCCGACTCTCCTGATGGCACATGGAGAGTCGAAACCTATCCAGACAAATATTGGTCTGATTTAACCAATAGGCGCATGGATTAAACAACGCTGTTTTATTTACGTGTAGAGTTTACACACAATCACAGAAACACAGTGAACGTGGGCCAAATGTTACAATCACAAAGGTCCGTGTTGTTACTGGGACTCTGCTCATATTTGCCTTACCCATAATTCTCCACAGCAATGCATCATGAGTGTGCGCATGTCATGTACGTGTTTTTTGTATTGTTAACAATCATAATGACCTAGAACATGTCAAAATGCCTGAATGCTCGAGTCTCATGCAGTTTCATGTTGACAGTGAGGAAACGTGGCTGATGGGGAATCACGTAATGCCAGCAACTGATAAGTGGCACGCCGAGGAGTGAGTTGTAAGCCTTTAAGCCAACTGGCCTGGAATTCCATCCAATCAGCCCACAGGAAGTCACAGTAACTGTATTTATTGCATAGCATTAACCAAAACGACGATACATTCCAATTATTCCAGCAGAGGGAGCCATTGGCCAAGAAAATTCAAAAGTTCACAGGTAGAGACGATTCATCAATCCACAAAATCTCGTGGTTGTTCCTGTCACATGCATTGCATTTTGAACGTAAAAATACAGTGCTTTTTTCATTCATATATGTTGTATGTGAATGGTTCATGTAAATCCTGCAGCCATGAGAGCAGTGATGGCCAACCCATACATGTGAGTGGCCCACATGAGTCAGTGGCCCACACGAGTGAGTGGGCCACATGAGAGCAGTGATGGCCAACCCACACGTGTGAGTGGCCCACACGAGTGAGTGGTCCACACGAGTGAGTGGCCCACATGAGTGAGTGGGCCACATGAGTGAGTGGGCCACATGAGTGAGTGGGCCACACGAGTGAGTGGCCCATACGTGTGAGTGGCCCACACGAGTGAGTGGGCCACGTGAGAGCAGTGATGGGCAACCCACACGAGTGAGTGGCCCACACGAGTGAATGGCCCACACGAGTGAGTGGGCCATACGTGTGAGTGGCCCACACGAGTGAGTGGGCCACATGAGTCAGTGGGCCACATGAGAGCAGTGATGGGCAACCCACACGAGTGAGTGGGCCACGTGAGCGGCCCTCCTCCACCTCAGTGGGCCGCAAGTTTCAAATCGTGCTTGTGTACTAATCACGACCCCACGCATGGCCCTAGGGCCGTGACACACTTAGACCAGGCCACCACGAGGGTCTACACAGGACGTAGGTTGCCCGCCAGGCCACATGGTTCCCAGCACTTCACTAGAGCGTGTACATGCTGCACAACAGCAAAAAAAGAGAAATGATTCTTGAATAAAATGATACAATGGCTGGGGTGTGTGGGTGAAGCTGTGCATGCCAAATAAATGTTTTAGCATACTATTATCTTAAGAACACCATGATCACTATAATAAGCACACCATTATCTTATTACAGTACGTACGTGTGTAATGATATTTGTTTACATGTATCTATCTCGTGTCATTATCATCACTGATGGTGGATGCCCATGACAGATGCGTTCCATTTTTCGCGATCTTCATTTGTCTCTCAGGGAGAGTTCCGTCCGACCGTCTCACATTGTCCCACCAACTCACCCACTTCCTTCCCCTTCCCTTATGCCATTTCCTTTGCAGAACAATCTTCGTCGCGTCTCTAGCTATGACCGTCTAAGGATATGTCCTGCGTGGGCCATCCTTCCTTCCCATCCGACTTGCAGCCATTCTTTCTCATTGTCACGAGAGCTTATATTATTCACTTGTCTCTGACACCACATCTCGAATACATTTCACCTTTCCACCGCATCCTTTCACAGTGTCCATCTTTCGCTGGCTCGTCCCCTGAACTTCACACGGACACCGTCAATATCTTCACGCTCACATTAATGTCTGGACTCTTTCTTGTCGCTGCCCCCTCTGACCTCTTTAAAAGCGGGCTTGGCTAAGCCAATTGATTGCTGCAATTCGGAACAATCAGTGATTGATGTTACACAACATCTAAACTCAAATGCTACCCCGAGATACCGTGCAGGCATGACGGGGCTACGAGATAAGAATCGCACCACAAAGGCCTTCAGATTTAAAAGTACGGGCACAACTGACGACACTCATCGGCCAATTAGGCCTCGACAAGCTGACAAGAGCAGAGAACGAGGGGCAGCCTTTCATTGTGCATAGACCCATGTGAGGTTGATAGAGAAAGCAATGGTCGTGTCACACTAACCAGATGCCCGTGCTCCAGTGACAGACCGGTAGTGTCAGCGGGCTGCAGAGAGCTGAGCCCCCTCCCTTCTCAATTCTCATAGCCAAGTCAAAGAATATTGGTACAATATTTAACACCCGTGGCAATTTAAGCGATTGGCGTGTGCAGCCTTTGCTCACAGACACCAGCGAGTGGGAGCCAGAGCAGAACGCACAGTAGATAAAATCAGATAGTAATCGTCACTCATTCTGTTTTGGGTGTAACATTTGGTTAAAGTTCGTCTAACATTGTGTCGTGCCCACCCTTGCGTTTCTTCTGTACGCCCCCTCCCTTTCAACAAGGTCATGCGACAGGGGCTGTGCAAGTGCCTACAACTTATTGTGCAATGTATTCTCTGTGTGGCACCGTCTCCGTAAACTGTAGGAGCACGTGGACATTTCTGAATGCAGTGTGGAAGTGGGAACTCTGTAGGGACACGTGGTTCCCAGAGGCGGACGCTGCAGCAGTGAGAGCATTAGTAACTATACTGCACTGATGAGTCATAATAATAGCAGAACCGGTCCACAATTGAGTTTCTCTCACTGCTGTCTGTTGGTCAAATTGACTAAACTGTTGTTTGGTTGTGGCCTCCGACAAGAGGACCACAATGCACTCTTTCGGAATTACTGATGGTTTTTGCATAACGCACAAAGGCTTTTTGTACGCGTTTCCCTGTTGTTCTTTAAAACCTTTACGGTGTTTGCCTTACATTGGCTGGTATTTTGGTATATCTCCGAAAAACCCTAAGATTATTAGAGGACCAGATAACACAACCTTGCACGTCAAATATAAACCATTTCAGTTTTTAGAGAATATAAATTCATGCAGGTCGATCACAAACATGTCATTGAATAACAATCAACAGAATAAGGAAGCTCTATTTTTCATTAGAATATTGGACGAGTTAACACATCAGAATACTGAGATATGGCTTCTGAATAAATACCAAAATAATTTCCATACTATTCCAATTATATACAAATAGGACATCACTAAAGCTTGCATTTTCTCTCAATCACTGTTGACAAACAACACAAGCTGAGAAAAGTCCGTAAGCCAGACATTTAAACAAAGCTGCATTAATGAATTTACTTGGTTATCATTGCTTCCAGCAAGGCCTATGTTAAGCATATAACACTGTTGCCACTAAACCTAATTTTCATAGTCCGAAGTGGTAGGATATGGAGCATGCCATATTCAACAAAACTATGCCGTGAAAGGCATTTTCAGAAAAAATATAAAAATCATCAAGTTGCTACTTAAAACTACAGCATTCTGTTCATATTAAGTGCAATGAATTTCCCTCACAATTAGTTGGCTCAGCCAAATTGAATCTCGCTGAAATGTTTTCTAACATTCAGGATGTAGCCAAGCGGGTATCCCGAGATGTCTCTGGGAAATAAACATTCCTAGCAGAGGTGTAACAATTTCATCCTCCCAGTGAATCGATTGTCGCAATTCATGATTTTTATTCAAATATTATCGGGTATGTAGAACCAGTAGTGGCTGAATGGGCCTTGTGAATCCATTACGTACAATATATACGAACCAACAGACAGGAAGACTTCCACCGTGATTCAATAAACATTTCTTAAACCTGAGAATTTATGTTAATCGATTAATTAATGCGTCGCTTAATCCCTAGTTCATAGTAAACAACAATAATCAAACAGGACCCTGCGGGGTGGGCTGGTAGGAATAATACTTAGTACCGGTACAGAGATATCGACCGGGTATAGAGGAGTTAAAGAAAAAATTACTGTATTCTAGTGTAACGTTAATTAAAAGTGTTTGTTTTGACAAGAAACGCTGTGAGATTTAAAGACTCGTAGTCTTTCATTTCCAACACCACCCTCAACACCACTCCTCCCACGGACGGACGGACGGACGGACGGACGGACACATTAATCTATTGGTGGTCTGGTCCACTTCGTTCCTACCAGTATAACTATCTTTAAAAATAACTCGTCATTAACCCTCCTCTTCCAGTCTTACTTAGCGACGCGGTGTCCCTTAGTTTAACAGATGCCGATTTAAAACTTGCTCCTTATCCTCTTTAATTCCACGTTGCTCTTCAGCCACCGTTCACCCACTAAACCCCGAGAGCAAAACGCATCACAGGAGACCGCGTGGCCCTTGAGAGTGTGGCTGGAGAATGGCGGGGCGGGGGGAGTTTGCTACGAAAATGAAGAAACGAAGGCAAAGAATCACAAACCCGTTCTCGTCGCAGCTGACGACGTAGGGGTGGTCGCGGAGCGGGTTGGCCCGACCCAGGCAAGTGACTCCTTCCAAGTGCCCAAAAAGTAGAGCACGCGGTGTGATCTGACAGACGGCGTCGGTGTCGGGAATTCAGAGACACAAAGAGAGGGGACATTAGGGAACTCACGTGCCACGGTTAAAAACTCTCGGGGTAAGGGTACGTCGCGTCCGGCAGTGAACTTATCTTCTTCTTGGTTCTTTCGGTAAAGTCACGTAGAAGGGAAATAATAAAATAATATAATTAAAATACAATTCTCACGACGTTTCGGCCACAACGCAAGCAGCCGTCCTCAGGTGAAGAACAGGTCTGTCAGAAAGACAGCGTCTGAAATCAGACGCTGTCTTTCCGACGAAACGTCGTGAGAATTGTATTTGATTTTTATTATTTTATTATTTCCCTACTACGTGACTTTACCAAAAGAACCAAGAAGATGAATCCCTGCAGTCACGAAAGCTTTAAATCGAAATTGAACTTATCTTGTTGACCCGGGACAGTTTGTGGCATTCTCTTGTCGTGTTTCAAAGCTTATTGGTCTCGTCTGGTGCGAGCACTGCGGGCAAATTGGGCACCTCATGTTTTGTAAATGAATGCTTTGCACCACTCCCGCTTGTCATCCCTGCCGATGGTAGGCCTCGTGAGCCCAAGTGCTTCCAGCAGGTCCCCTTTCTGAGGGGGTTCCGCACGGAAATATTACGCGTTGGTGACCTCTGTTTCCCTAGCGGATATCTGTTTGTTGGGTTCCTGAACTAAAAACAACGTCGCGGAGTGCGGTCAAGTAATCCCAATGAGCCCACACGCGGTGCGAGAGGCCCTCCTCCAGCAGTGGATTGACACGTACACATTTCTATGGAGACGTTAGAGACAGCGTATGACGCCGTCTCTCGCGTCTCTGTGCAGCAGTCCACATGCTCTGGGGAGACAGTGCCTCACACATCCCTCCCTTACAGCGGCTCGATATTCCCTCCTGCTTCCTCTACATCTCTTTACATTTTGCCCTCATTCTCAGGTCTTCTCCAACGGACAAAATTGTCGCTAACATGCGGAAGCATCTCCTGCTATGCAGGCCATAGCAGGTGCCTCTTGCTGTCGAATGATACACACGATCTACAGGAATCATCAGATGATCTTGCAAAAAATGTCAGAATCACTCCATCTTCGTGTCACCTCTACCGTGGAAAACCCGGGGGGCGGGCAGTTTCTTAAATTAGGCAACCTGCCAGTCAAATTTTCTAAATGATCGTAATAATATGCATGGGGTGTCATTTGGAAGGTAATTACGTAGTTTTAGAAATAAGCCGATGGTTTGACAGGTACACACAACTCAACGTGGCATTCCAGCGTGGATGAGAAAGCCCGTTCCACCGAGCACATCTGACACCGTGGCATTTCATGAGCATTTCTCCCTGATCAGGAAAATAGGACAAATGGTTTCTATCCGAACTACAGTCCTAATTCGTTGACTCTGTCCAAGTAAAACGCCAATTTATGGTAAATTATAGTGCAATGATTACGCACGTATTCAAAGTATGTGGGACTGCCAATTTGCCGTGAGGCAGAAAATAAAAAATAAACTGTGGGAATCTGATGCCAGTGGTTCTCGGTGTCAAGTAGCAGTCGTCGTCGGCACGATCCACGGGACTGAGACCCTTCGTCACCCCGATCTGGCACCGGCCCTCACACTTGTGGCTCTTAACCGTAAACACGGTCGTGCTGCCAGGTGCGCCGGCTGGCTCTGTTGACCACAATAGTTCTTTGTTTGTAAATGACACACTCAACATTTACCAACTTAACAAAAACAAGTGTGCTGTAAATAGAGAGCAGAGTACCGTTCAGAGTAATCCGCTCACCTCAACCACCGATCAATTCTAGCCAGGTTTGACAACACAATAACATGCAGTTTTGGAAAGAGCATTCAATTTCAGAAATACACGTTTTTCCATAGACCTTTTGGGTGTATTATGGAACACCATAGCCATTTAATGGCAATACATTTCATCTTAAGTTTCCTAATCCACACGCAATACATGTGGACTGTGGGCACTGACAGGATCAATCTACATCTGCTGCATGATCATACATTTCCACTGGTGCTATTCTTACAATGAGGCCTTGTGTTGTAAAATTAAAGACATTCATCAACTCCAGGCAGAGGACCCGAAAATTCATCTTGGATGTTCTGCTAACGTTTGTCAATGGGATTTGCCAAAAAAGTTAAATTAACCCAGAGTATCACTGTAATCTCTCATAGCGTATCACATGTGCGCATGTCTCCCGTACTATGGACAGAATGAAGTGCTGGCAAAGTGGTTAACGTTCTGCCCGATAAACCCAACAGCCTGAGTTCGATTCCTAGCCGTGGCTAGATGAAAGAGGCCAAGACCCATCCCCACTTCACCAGCCATCATGACCGGCAAGGCCCTGGAGGTACCGCCATCCAGCAGTGGATCGACAAAGGGCTGTACATTATTACTATCAATAGAAAATTAAATTTGTTGAAAACAGCTTTTGTGTTCAGCTTGTTGTCCTTCCCCAACGCATCCGATAAGCACAGTTGGCTACGTACGATGCAAAATAAATTCAACATACTGACATTATCACTGTTATCAGATAATACATTGTTTATTATATCTACTGCACCATCACAATGCAGTTTAGCTGTGGTCTTCTTGCCCAGCGAACACTGCACATTCTACGGCAGTCTGCAGATGGCTACAGCTCACGGATGTGCCCTCGAGTGGGCGAGCCACGTGCGTGTTCTCCATGCGGCCGACTGCCGGATGTTTGATCCAAACTCCTGAGATGTAATTCTTACATTTTACATGTCTGAAATACGTTTGTTTTGTTTTCTTGTGGCCTCTGCCGAAGTAGCATGAACACACAATGTGTGAACACAGAGCCCCGCTTTGCCTAGTTGGTTGATGGGGTAGGGTACAGTGTTCCTGAGGCTGCCTCGACTGTAACCCATGGACCGAGCGAGAGATAACGCTTTGCAATTATGCACGCAGGGCAATTGTGCAATAGCATCGTGCAGATGTGCCGGCTGCGTTCAGCACGTTGAGCAAGGAGAATCAAATTAGGTTGCATATTTTGCATCCATGGGATGGGTGGCTACATTTAGTAAGCCAATTGATATCCCTAATTTAATATGGTGACATCCGATTCAATGATTTATTTTGCACAGGACCATAACAGTTTTAAAATTGCAGGGTAATCTTGTAAACATTTGAAATGTTGGTCAATAAAAAATAGGAACATTCATTAGCACGCTTGCAATGTGTGATGTGGCATGATCCTGTGCAATTCACTTAACAGAAACACCAGGCTTTGATATGAACTGGGACTTGAACCACTGGCTGCAAACTGACCCATTTTAAAAAATGCAAATATCACGCCTGTTCATCGAGGCAACACAAGTGAAATGCAAATGGGAAATACTCAGCGTACCGAGTAAATCTGTGTTGCAAGCAAGCGATTATGCAAAATGAACATATGTAACAAGGAGTGACAGATAGCCCTACCTTTTTCACGCAAGGAAGTATTCTCAGTATTTCACAAATTATTAACAGTGATCTACATCTAAGCTGTTTATGGTTCAACATTTATGCACAAGCCCAGCATTATCCTCAATGGCATCACTGTATTCAGTCTTACCACTGTATCACTGAGAGATGTTTTACAACCATGAGTCACTTACAATCACACTTTTATAAATGAATAAAAAGCAGAGGTTTTTTTTGCATCGATGACAGTAGTAGAGAAGAATTCGGGTTCATTTTCCAAGCAAATTTTGCCCGGGCATGGGGAAATCATCTGCGGTGAGAAGTTTCACACGGGCATCGCAGCGATCGCACTCCGCAAGAACCCCGGCAATCGGAGATCTCGGCAATGATCGTGGCACAACAACGGAGACGATGCAATGATTGCCAACGCTTACAGGACCGCAGAGGAAGACCTCAGAGAGAATGGCTTGACGATGACGACGGCGACATAAGAGATCGGTGCCAGTAAGACGTGCCACTGCTTGAGCATATTGACACAAGACAGAGGAAAGTGGACGACATGTGCAGTGGACACCTACGGGGGCTATCTGACCATGGATCGTGATGACAGGACCAGAATCAGAGCGGGACGAGAGTGGATGATATCACTCATTGCACTGTTTAACACAAATAAGAAATACTTGAAATATTCAAAAACATTCACTCTTAAAGTGGTGCTTGTGAGCATTCACTGCACATATTATCTAGCAGTCGGAACCAAAAACAAGACCATAAAGCATAATACTTAGTCAAATGCTTTAAACTTTACCCCAATAAATACATCGTCATAAGGTTGAGCGCAGTCATCATTAATAATTGCGGCTGTAATATCTGTACAAGCTATTATTATAATTGTTATTGCCAGGCCAGGTACACTCGAGTCCAGGGTACGAGCGGTGACACAGCCCAGTGGGAGCGCCTTCACCGCTCGTTGGAGAGGTTCGCGGTTCCAGTCCGGCGGCTGCCCTTGCTCAATACTGCGCGAGTATTCACCGTAAAAACACGCCGCGCGCATCACAGCGGACGACGGAGATCCCGTGACGCCCTTTGCAAGAGTGGGCCATTGTGCGCTGGCGTCGTGGTGTAAAGTCTCCAAATTTTAAACGTGACATGCAATTGAATCAATTTTAATCCACGTAGCAATGATCACCCCTCTACTGCGAAAACTTGACAGGGCCCGCGTTAAAAATAGTTATGAGACTCAGTCAGGCTTTTCTGGGTAAACAAGCGTAGTAGTAATACTATTAATAATCATAAACACCTTGAGATCTTCGTCTAGGTTCCATAGGCAGAGCTGCCCATCTTGGCATCCGGTCACAATTGTGTGCTGGTCTTCTGTGAGCAGCAGGCTGGACACGCAGTGATTCGGGGCGTGCAAACCCCAAAGCACCATGGGAAGGACCCGTTCCTTATCCGGCATGGTGGCACTAAACCTGGAGCACAGCAATGGCAACAAACCGCACGAAGTGTTACATTTTTCCAGAAACAAGGTTCAGCAAAAAAAGAGTCACGTTCGTGCTGAACCTTGATTAGTGTCATTCAAACACAACACTCCAATCATACGCCTCCAACCATATCCCTTAACCCAGCACACTCCTCCTTCACCCCAACCTGTTCAACACGGAGCCTGCGTCTCGCTCTGGTAAAACCAAGAGGCGACACCTGTCCATGGGATATACAGTGCCGTATCCTCCAGATTATAATTATTAATTTACTCTGCCAAGTTAAGACACACCCCAAACCCTGAAAAAGAAGAAGTGATTTATTAAATCGGGAGGATACGGTATCATACCTGTCAACCCATACTGTTTACCCGTATTCTAATACAGGGGAAAATATATTTGTTTGTATTTCTCCCTTGTGATGGAACTTTGTAGGGTGAACGTTGAGATGTATAAGGGCACGGGGTGACCAATACGGTCTGAATTGGTCTGTAATAAGGTGGGCACTGATAAGGGGTTGACAGGTATGCGGTATTGTATTTCTATGCAGAGCCGTCTTCCAAAAGATTATTAGAAATGCACCGTTTTGAAATGGCGAGATATGTCTCCTGGAAGATGAGGCACCACAATGGCCCTGTCATGTCCTCTGGGTGGCCATGTATTGTCATGTAGGACAACATTCTTCTTGAAGACATTGTGTTCTCCAGATTATAAAATGCACCCTCAACGTTTACTTTGATATAGAGAGGGGGGTGGGGCGGTTGAAGTGTGTCTTGACATTAAACACTGACATTCACGAAGTACAACTACAGCAGTGCCAGGTATTAGCATAACCGTGAATGGAAAATCCCGAGTGACCTCTCATGCCAGGTTGCCTGTGGAAGGATCTGGAAAGCGCTACAGATTACAGCTGATAAACAACCACGGTAGCATAGCAGCTGTTTCAATCCCATGCATTCTGATCCACTAATCCAACCAATGCCACAGGGCAAGATCCATACACAGCAGTCGTTGAAACTTGGGTATGAAGAACGCAAGGAGCTTTCAGGTGACCTTGTCAGTGAAGATTCCGTTTCTAGTGCTGCACTGTCCTCCCTGGCCAGGCGGCTCGCTCAGCGTCAGAATGTTGGGAGTGTGAATCCTGGTTGGGGGTCGCACCGCGCGTCATACGGCACGAGGTCCGAGGTGGAGCGAATCGCCGTACAACATCCCGAACAAAAACGCAAGAAGGGAGTGTTAGCCCAGAGGGCCCATTTATAGCGGCCATAATAATAATGAGTGACTTGTTTACCCAGGAAAGCCGCACAGATATTCACCACTCACGTTTAGCCATGAGCAGAAATCGAACTCAGTTCACTCGGTTCTTAGCGCAGTGGGTTGCCGAGAGCTTAACTGTGAAAAAATTACCATGCTTCCTCTCCCTTGGCACACACACATGCCACACACGCAAAATCAGGAATTTAAAATAAACCTCACATTAGTTTTCTAAATTCTTTAAAAAGCTCTTACATATAAAACACAGTACTTTAGGCACTTTAACACTACTGCAATATCACCGATGTTGTTTTTATATTAAAATAAATAACGATGAAAATTCTATAAATACAACTCTTCGTCAATCCGGTGCTGCGGGAAGGCCTACGACTTCCCACACGCCGCTACTGATGAGGGTTGTTTGACGGTGGAGTTCTTCACCATTAGTGCACCGTTAGTCAAGGTGGGGTCTGGCTCCGGTTCAGTTACTACTCGTCACTGATGTTAGCCGTGACTGAGAATCAAACTCAGGTCACCCGGCTCATTGCGCAGACCGTCAAACACTGCACTACGACTCGATTATTGCCCTGCTTTATTCACGACCGGAGTTACAATAAATCATATTTTGTTATAACAATAATAAAAACAATACCACGTATACAATTAGACACATCAAAGTGCCCAAACTCTGATGTGCTTTGGTGTGAGTTGATAACAAGAACAATAAAATACAGAAAAGTTAAGAAAACGAATTCCCTAATCGCACTCACAGAAGTAACATCCAACTAATAAATAAAAGCGTCCCAATTATCCATACACATAAACAGGTTAATTTTTTTTGTCAAAATCTGACTAATGAAGCGGTATGATTAAAAGCTAGTGAGTTTTTATATATTTGTGATGCATAGAGCAGAAATTCGTCTTGCTGAGGGTCAGAGGTAGGTCCACATAGCCCTTTCACGTAAATGTCACCGAGCACTTCAGAGGTTATTTCTTTCATGGAAAATTCTAAATGTACATTAAGCGACGTTAATGTACAAAAACACAATTACACGCAACAGTGGCGCCCTTCTGGACGACGAATGAAGTGAATTGACTTCTGCTCTGTATCTACACGTGGAAAATAATAAATGTTTAGCACAAGGTGGCCAGGTGCTTCAAAACGTCAGAGTGCCGCATCTGTCACAGCCGAGACCCTGGGTTCGAATCCGGGCATCTGCCTGTGATGAAACCGGGGTTGTCTAGCCATACGACGAGATGCCTGTCAAGGTTCATCCCACTCACAGCAAAGACTTCCTCTCAACCAACAGGTCTCGGTCTATTCCCTGCTCCACACACTCTCACATCGTTCTCCCGGCTCAGTGAGCTCAGTTAAACTATTAAACTAAACTATTTTTTTTTATTTTACCAGCTAAGACCAACTGATCTATATAGCTCTTTTTCAGAAGCGACCTGAGCGCAAATGATAGTTCAATGAATTGGCTTATCGTGTGGAAATGTACAGCAGCCAAATACTGTAAACGCATGTTTCTAAATGTGGAAGGAAAAACCGGAGGACCCGGAGAAAAATCTACGTGGAGACGGGGAGAGAAACACGCAAATTCCAAGTATACAGCAGCAGGCGTCGGGGTTGGGATCGAACCCACGACCTCCTGCATACCAGGCGAGGTAGTTAACATCTCGCCACTGTGGTATCCAGGAAAGAAGACTCCATGGGATTGTGACCCACAGCAGCCTTTCCCATTTGATTAAGACATAATGGTGCGTTGGAGGTGGTATACAGCACAAATAACAAACACGTCCTCAATGCGTACGTCAATAACACTGTGACCTTCAAAGGAAAACAATATAATCAGTGACGTTTCGAGCAATGGCCCTACTTCATGGGACATACACTCATTACGTGCTGTAAAGGAGGGACCTGTCCCGATACAATGCCAGTTATATCTCATTGCTTATAAAGCCACTGGGTTATTCACAAATATTATTGGGATTCTATGAAGAAAGGCTGCGCAGAAAACCTGTAGCTCAAATGTATTATTAATTAACTAATTCCCACATGTTATGTCATATATATATCAATATGCTGCAAGCTTCTCCCATAGGGGGATACTATTACATGCGGTTGCATGTGTATTGGACTGCTCTGTGTCTTGACAGGGTCTGCAGGCAGCAGACTCGCCACAGCAATTTTATTCTCAAAAATAAAAACCCCCGCCATTTCTTATCGCAAACGTGACATCCCTTAAATGAAAACTTGGGAAGTTTTTTGTTTGTTTCTTTCAAATAAAATGCTACCCTGTCTACGCGGATGCTTTGAAAAACAAGTGGGTGAAACAGCACGGAGGGTAAATGATTAATGTTAATCGTTCGCTTCCATCCACCTGTATAAGCAGCAGGCAGGGGGTGGTGCGCTCCGGTTAATGCGTCAAAACTCTTCCCGCGAGGACATTAATATTCAACTACGCTCACGCCTAGAGACGGACTACGCACGGTGACATTATTCGCTCATTATTATCCACGATCCGGTGTGTACACGGCACCACTGTGCTCATAATTATTAATGCCATTTCCAAATTTAGCACGTTTTTTTTCTAGTTCCGGTGGCTACGCGTAAGCTTTCAGCAGCCAACTTCACGCGATTTAATCCGGCTGCCTTGTCACTATGAACTCTCTATCCCCGGCTGTCACGGGGAAGCCTGCCAGTTGTGTTGGACAGCTGGACCATTCCCATCGCAATGACACAACGCCTGTATGGACATTGAGGCCGTGCTTATGAATGTTATAGTGGTTTAATTATATTTGAGACGTCGCTGTTATATTTTTTTCTCTGCGTCTTGGTACAAAACTCTTAAATTGTATTATTGAGTCTTTCGGTAAAGTCACGTAGATAGGTTTAAAGAAAATAACAAAGAATAACAACAAAAAACCTCCGACGTTTCGATTGCAACACAAGCGGTCGTCTTCAGGAAAATTGTCATTTTAGACGTTGAAATGTCTCGCTGCCTTATTCAACTACCTTGTCATTAAATCACCTCCGCCCCTGTCATGTTGAGTCACCGTTGACAATGCAATCACACCTGTGTGACTTTGGGTTGTGTGCCCTGGCCATTGACAATGAGCGTCCCCACTTCTCGTGTTCGCTGCCATGCAGCTGCCTGAAGCTAACGGACTGAATGACAACTTACGATTTTTATACGAAGCCTTGGTTCTAAAAACGGTGGTTCGTGAAGTGTTTCTCAGTGGGCATGAGTACTTATTCAACAATGCTTGCCTTGCGTGTCCACGTTGTGTCCAGATGGCTCTGTGTGATCATTGCAATTAAACGTTTAAGCAAACGCTGAAGGCAATGTTGACATTACATGAAAATCAACTCGGGCGTGTTCTGTTTACGTGACAACCCTTACTAGTCGGCTGTGTCGGGTGGTGGTGGGTTTTAACGACACATTTATATGTTAACGCGATCTAACCAAAAAAAACTATATTATTGAAATCAATGTTGGGTCAATGCAAATGTATTGTGTACATTTTAATTCCAGCATTGTCCATCAGCAAGGGTAACGCCAGTGTTGGGGGTGGGGTGGGGTGGCACGTGCCCCCCCAATGATCCGATCGAAATCCTTAATTTCTATCGGATCATTTGTGTTTATTAGTAATAAATCGGCATTTTGCAACCCCCCACTGCCACTGTGTAACATATTATTACGTGCCAAGGACACTATGAGATGATAAGACAATAGCCTGAGTCCATAATTGGCAATAAGTAACGGCAAAGCAGTTATGAGTGACTCACAGAATTGTGCGCAGTTGCGTATACAGGACACGGCTTCCCTGAAGTCATTCACCTTCAGCGAGCGCGATGCCGATCACACAACGCGGTTCGAATTCGACCCTCGATCGATGTCTGCGCCATCGCCACACACGCGCCGAATAAAAAGCAAGGGACAAGTGCTTAATTACGAACAACTCCTCTATCATTTTTCATTGCTGGAGGGGTTGCCCCCCTACCTGAAAATCCTGGCTCCACCATTGGTTACTGTGGCAATGTCAAGAGACCGCTCCAGGCATTTCACATGATGCAGAATTTTTTTTGCACTTTTTATATTTAACTGCATCTATCATATGACGCACACACATCACACACACAGCGGATTTACAAACACCCGTCAGCATTGTGTTGGCTGTGAGCGATGACAAGACAGCTGACGGGTCCTCGTGGCTCGTGTCGGAACGAGTCCCTCCTCGAGCTCACCGCTCGCTCCAGGGACTGGCCGCTGCCCGAAGCCTGCCCCGCACGAAATCACTCCTCTCATCTCACCACGAAGCCTTCGTGAAACTGAATAATCGTTCACTTCGTCGCACTCATTCATACTGAACGAGTTTTGGGACACGTACCCATCGTGACGCTGATACAACAGTACCTCAATACTGCAGTGCTGTGCTAGTTCCAAAACAACAATAATGTGTCTTATCTTCGCCTTTTGAAAACTTAAACAATTTACCGATGCATTGTCGTGAAGGGTAAAAAGGACGTGACTATTTTTATTTTATTTTTATTACGAGACTCGTATGATTATTTACATACACACAAGCGTCATGCACCGTGCACACGGGCTTTGCAAATGATTGAGTCTGCAGTGAAGAGCGCCGTGGGAGAATGCCACCGTCCCAAAAAGGAGCCTCATTGCCAACCCCACCGCAGAACCACCTGGAATGGTCCTACCGAGGGCCGGAATGCACGGCGGGCACGCGGCACTGGAGGAGGAAGATGAGATCCCCCCCCCACCCCCGCGGCATTGCGACTGCGACTGTCAAAGCCAAACCGTGGAACCGATCGTCCGGCTCATTAACACTGCACACATTCACAGCACCATTCCCGCCAGCACAAAACCTGGCTAATCACTCTGCCGTACAGAAGAAAAGAAAAATAAACCTGCAGTATGTGAACCAGTAAAGAGTACTTGTATCCTATTTGGCGATTCCTTGAGAGGTATAAATATCCACAGCTCACCAAAGAACATTACTATTGAACGTCCAAGGATGGAGGTCATTTTCAGATTTCTTTAAACTGTCTGATAATGCTGGTTGCACCTACCAGACAAACGTCACAGAAAACTGTTCAATTTTGTGGACTGCTCTTCGTGTGCTGAAGCAGTAATATATTGACTCAAAAGTTAATCACTTGACAATGTTATTAATCGACCCTGTCAGGTGGCGGAGGGTTTACGGCACGCAACTTAGTTTGGCGATCGCACTCAAAAATCAACTAAGAATCAAAATGCGTTTTGTTTGTGATCAGGAAAAAATGAACTCATACTCAGTCTTTATATCCTCCCTCACCTATTTGAGGTCGTGATTGAATTTGCTCAGAGTGTTCCACTAGTGACGTAAATGGCGACTTGCGATTGTGCGTTATTTTGTATACAGATATGCAGGAGCAAAAGAGGCGGGTAAGCCCCATTACCACGCATCGCTAACCTTAATAGCTTGGGCATTTGCAAGAATTCATTTTTTATTCAGGGATTTTTCACCTCAAGCAATAAGCAACTCACGCTGGTCAGCGTGGTGAAGTATGGCCAATTACTGCCATGGCACGATGAGGCCTTCATGCCATCCTGAATACGGTTTTAAAATGCACATTGTCTCTTAATGTACCCACAAGACACGAGGAAGGGTACAGAATGATCACTTCTCCGGTTCAAAATAACGCACGTGTTAACATCTGGGTCTTTAGTACACTGACTTCACACACGCCTTAAGCAGTATGAGAAAGCCTTCGATCAGCTCACTCCACCAAACAAAAGCCTCCCTGGAGTGGTCTTCTTGCAAGGACACATTTACGATAAGAAACAACGCAGTTCCACCTTGAGATCACATTAAGTTATCAAGCGGGAAATCGGCTCATATTTGGTAGTTGCCATCACAGAACCAATCCAAGCAAGCCACACCAGGCACGAACGACATCGAAAATAAATAAATTTCGGTTCACCACGAACTCATAACAAATATGTTTACTAAACAACACAGCAGAAGGTAGCAGCTGCATTACCGTCTGTGGCTGACCTAGCAAAGGGCATGGCCATTTCCTACAGGAATTAAATTTACTTCTGGATGAATGCCTCATTAATGGCTCCCCAAACTGTCAGTCGTGGGGGTTGCTTGTCCATACTTCCCCACCCTGGTCATCGCGGGTTGGTAAAGGAGACGGCCTTGAGCACCAGTTCAGAGGTCACTCGATATCGATGTTCGCCGTGGCCAGGAATTGAACTGAGATCGTCCGGGCTCTTAGCGATTCGCACAAAACGTGTGTAAACAAGAAAACGAAAACACGCGGCATCTTCATAAAATCGCCAGCATAAGTGCTCATAGTGAATTGTATCGCAAGGGGTGAGTGTCATGCTACTCCTGGGCGCGGTTATCTGTGCTTGAGTACTTGAATGTGAAGTTGTCGTTGTAGCTCTGCGTCTACATCAGCCGTACGAAAGGAGAAAAAGAATGTTACGCTTCCCGTGCCTGCCCCAAATTACATTATCTGTCACTGACACCAGGGTAACACTTAGCATCTCCGTGCAGGACAGGACACGTTGCCGCCAAGTCATAACCGTTGTCTATTCCAATATGAACAAGCATCTGAACTCTCAAACGGCGGGTTCACTCTCACTACATCCATACAAATTCACCCGTGTACATCTACACGGATGTTTTATCAAGAGGCAGGTGCAGTTCTGTATATGCATATATTTTCTGGGTCTTTCGGTAAAGTCACTTAGATAGAAAACATTACAATAAAATAATAAAAAAATGAAAATAAAGTGAATAAAAAGTAATACAATCATTTTCATTATTTTATTGTTATTATTTTTTCTATCTACGTGACTTTACCGAAAGACCCAAAGAATGTGAATTCCTGCAGTCACGAAAACTTTAAGTCAAGATTTATTTGCAAATAGTCACATTTTACGTACTGCACTGCACAGGGATATGTATAAGCATTTGGTGAAGAATATAATTATCATAAAAACTAATTTAAATCTGAGTGTGGAATTTCGCATGCGTAACGTTAGACAGGGCACAGCGGTGGCAAGATGTTAACTAGCTCGCCTGGTATACAGGAGACCGTGGGTTCGATGGCTGTATATTTGAAGTGCGTATGCTCTTCTCGTGGTCGCGTGGATTCTTCTTGGAGTCCTTCGGTGTCTTTTCTTCCACATTTAGAAAAATGCGTTTCGATTATTTGGCTTCTATAAATAAGCCACTTGGTTGAACTATCTGTGGCAAGGTCGCTTCTGAAAAAGCTATATAGCTCAGAGGGCCTTACCTGGTCAAATAAAATAATAAATAGACTGAAAACACCCGAGTGATTGACGGCCACTTTGGAGAAGGGTCAATGAGACCACCTCGCACGTGGAAACGAGGTGGATAGTGGCATAGTTGACGCTATTCATTCAGCAGTGGATAGATCACTGCAGGTCATGATGAAGTTAGAGTTTAATACACGTGCCAGTACAGTAAAGCAACCCATGTTATTCACAATGGCCGGGTGAGGAAGGGGACGGTGTCACTGACAAAAATCTTCCACCAAAATGTCGGTGTGTCATGGTCACATTGTATTATTGTGGGATATTATTCATTGACATTTTAATCTATCCCATTGCATGACCCTGTTTTCTTCACACTATTTAAAATGTGATCATTAAAATTGTCGACTAATGGGAATGTCAGCTCAGGAAAGTAAACCGAAGGGAAGCAGAAAATGAAAGGTGCTCTGAGGTTTTGGGACGATCTGCTCTAAATAATATTTCGACTATAAACCAAAATAGTGAAATTTAACAAAAAGTGCATTTAGCAATACGGTACGGAATTTAATGCGGTATTTAACAAATACACTTCAATTTGCAAATGTCATATTAAAATCTCATTCCGACATACCGTGTGGTGTAATACCGGGTGTTCCATAAAGTAAGCATCCACCGAAAAATAAACACAGAGTGGTATAAATGTTCCAACATTTTTCCTCATATTCTTAAAAAATGTTTTAGAAAAGTTAAAACCGTGAGTGATCTTCAACGAGATTCTAAAGAGTGTCACCTGAGATGTTGGCGATTGCTCGGCACTCAAATCTCGATACCTGGTGCTGGTGCTGTTGGTGTAGGCACCATGGTGGACACGTGGAGGTTTAGAAGGGTGGCACTCGTGCCAATGAGGTCTTCATACTGCCAAGTGGATTGTGTATGACTTCATCACACGTGGTCACATGCCAGTCTCGCTAAACGTACACTATTTGATCATCAAACATTCACGGCAACGTTTTATCTCCTGTGAATCTATCTCCTGCTTGATCTCTGCAGTTTCTTTACTCGCGCCAGGATGACGCGCTTCGTTCGTACTTGTGTGTAAATGTAGAATTACATGTTCCGCTTCTTTAGAACGCATTGTTAACCAGCTGTACGAGCATATGCAACGCGAGATCAGTTAGCAATAGTTTAATTAAAAACAAAACTGGACAACGTCATAATTTCATCCGCAAGCCAAACACACAAACCGTGGACACGATGTCACAGGAACGCCGCAATTAATTCGTGTAAGTTGCCCTCCCGAAGTACATAACGTTGTCAAAACTTTAAACCAAGAAAGTTAGTACCTCTCAGTGGACGAGGATGCAGGGACGCGGCTGAAAGTGACTGACTTTGGAACTTGACACAGACGCAGTTGCACGAGCGTGGCTCTGCGTGGAGGCGTCCGCTACACCTGGAGGCGTCGGCTACACCTGGGAGCGAGAGAGAGGAGGAGGGAGCGAGAGGAGGAGGAGGGAGCGATGGGAGGAGGCTGAACGCCGCGTGCAGTGTGCGGGGAGCGACTGCGCTCAGCAGGCGCGCCTTGCCACTGAGGGGAGGGAGAGGGGTGTCGGTGCGGGGAGCGGTGGCGCACTGATTAGCGCGCTGCGCAAACGAACCCAGCATCCCGAGTTCCATTCCCGTTCACGGCCACCAACGAAAGTGACGATTATTTGAACCTTAGATCAACTCAGCCTGAAATGAGTACCTGGTGTAAACATCAACAATAGGGAGACAAAGACGGCCTGACCTGGTACTAACCACCCCACTCCCTTGCGTGTCATTTTGGCCGTCATAGGTGCCCGCAAACAGCACTTGTGTCGACTATAGGGGGTTCTCATATGTACAGGAGGTTCATCTGCCAGTCATCCCCAGCCATTCAACCCACGGCACCGGGGTCTCTCCCTGTGACCTCCTTCCTGTCTGCGAGCCTTCCACACTTCACGTGGTGGCTTCAAAGTGCACCACTCCTGGCACAAGCGTCACCGTCGCTTCGCGGAGATTGCTGCTATTGCGCTGTGCACCCGTGGTGGTGTTGTGCACCATGGGTGGGATGTTTCTCTTCTTCCGAAGAGTCGATGAATGGCAGAATTTCGGGCCCAGCTTGTTAGATTCGGTTCCAGGGCCAAGTTCGTTTTTTTCCAACTCGTTTTCATTTGTTTCTCGTAAAAATGTCCCCTCGTATCTTTTGTAGCTGTACAGTTATGTTCGTTCTGTTATCCATAAATATATATATTATCGTATCACTTGTATCAACAGAAAACAACGTTATTGTTATGCATGCAAATTGCGACGCAACGTGAACTTTATATTTTTAAAATGTAATGAATGTATGCAGCTATCATAGTCTTTACCAATATTTGTATATGCGTAACGCCTTTGCTGTGGCGTTGGGTTGTGGTTGCATCCTCTGCCGTTTAATTATTCCAGGAAACCCCCCCGAGTTGCATGGCTTTTCAAGAAAGCTCCTGCACTCGGATGTTTGATCAGTCTCATTCTAGGTTATTGCTTTGCATGTGGCTATAAACCGGAGCGCACGGAGAAGACCCCACCACGCATACGCAGGGCAATAATACTATGCTGCACATTTCCCGATTACAGCCCCACTTGCTGTGCTGCCACACCCTGGCGACATTCCATATCCTAAGTATTGTACTCGGTGATGCTTGATTGGAGCACAAACACAATTAACACAAACGACTTCCTGTATACCAGGCGAGGTAGTTAACATCTCCTAGCCACCGTGGTTGGGACAGCAGGGGCACAACGCTGGAGATCGGCTATCGACTGTTTCAGCACCCGAGGGATTCAATCAGAAGAAGACTATGGCGAGATGTGATCATATTTATTTGACTCTTGTTTACTCAGAAACGCCTCGCAAAGTCTGAAGATTGCTTTTTAGGAGGGTCCTGCCAATGTTTTGCAGTAGGGGCAATTTTACCAAGAGAGTAATCAGGTAATTGTTCAGCATTGGGTTGATTGGCCAATACCAGTTAATTTTAAATATATATTTTCATGACCTCCCACGTTTGATGTGAATAACACCTGGGTCTCTCCCGTGACCTCCTGCCAGCGAGCATTCAAGTTCAAGTTCATGTATTAGGTGTAGCCCTGTGAGCCATTCGGCTCTTGAATCGGGTGCAACCGCAACAAACAAAAAACAGAAACATGAACACGTCACGTGGCCTCAAAGTGCACCTCGCCGAAGCTGTGGATGGCGGCTGCTGTGGAAGATGTTTGCGTGGGCGTTAACATCGGCACACGCGACCCGTGCCTGCGTGGCTTGTATCGGCCGATGTGCACGCCACAGAAGGGGGACGCAACACTTCCCACATCACACCGCGTGCTTTCAGCCCTGGAGGAAACCCACCAGCCAAACGTCTGTCTCAATGCCGCACACTCACGAATGGTTTAAAAATAATTGCCGTATTCTCCAGACAACAAGACGATGCCTTTTCCCCATGTATTTTAAAGAAAAAATCTGGCCGTGTGTTAATCATTTGGTAGGTGTGTGTGGGTGTGCTTCTATGGCCACACACCCATTCTGTGCCGTGCCGGCCATTATAGGTGCTCGCTAATAGCATTTACCTCAACAGTCTGCTAAGGGGCCGTCCATAAATGACGTCACGCGATTTTTGGACAATTTTTTACCCCCCCCCCCCCACTCGTCACACGGCGTCACAAAAAGTCAGACCCCCCCTCAAATATGACGTCACAAAGCTCTGCCCCCCCCCTCATCCAAAACCATATTTCCATTTTGAAAATAAAACATGCTTCAAATCGCTTTAAACTATTGTCATTGTAGTGCGTATTTAATGTGGCGCTGCACTCTGACGTTGTAGGAGAAAACATTTAACAAAAAGTCTATTTAATAAATTAGAACGTATTTTGATGTGACGTCACATTTCTCAACCCCCCCCCCCCTCGTCACACATCGTCACAAATGTCTGAACCCCCCCCCCCCCCTAGGTGCGTGACGTAATTTATGGACGGCCCCTAAGGTTATATGGGGGAATCGTTATCTTTGTCTTGTGCTTATGTGACCAGATTCGTCTAACTTTATTGACAAACTGGAGCATCTGGTAATGTGCAAAATATTACAATGTAATGTGGCACATTTCATGTAGTGGTTAGTGCATTTCTACCAACTGGGGCTGGCAATGCTTTGGCTCTCTGGTTTTTCGAGCCCTGGCTCTGAGACCACTCCTGTAGCTCATCTCCAGGTCCCAGGCTCCGCGCTGACTCTGCAGCTGAGACCCCCTGCTCTATCTCCAGGCTGCCTCGAGCAGCCCCTGCTCCGGTTATAGAGCAGCTTCACATATTTTCCCTTACTCCAGAGCCACAAAACCCCATAATTATCAGTCATGCACGAACCAGGCCACCTGGGTTCAATTCCTGGCCATGGCTAACTTCAGTGGCGGTTATTTTCACAAGTCCTGAAAGCTGTTATCGCTAATTAAATTACCGTATTTCCAAGGACAAAAATGCATCTTGGAATGTGTTACAGAGGCCATGCAAATGCATTTTTTTCTCTTCCTTGTTTGTAGAACGGTGAATGCAGGAAATAGTGGATCTGCTCTGGAACATCAGCTCTGGCTCCAGGCTCTGGAGCGCTCCAATGACCCCAGCTTCAGATCCAGTGACCCAGCTCCATCTCGCCTCCGGCTCCGTTTCACGACGTAGACATACCGGCAAACTCCTCTCCGACTCTGGGGCCTCGGAGCCAGAGCCTGCCCAAGCCTCATATCACCTCCGAGTAGCACGGATGGCTACGTACGGTGCCGAAGAAGTTCATCATCCATACATCAACGACGGTGCGGGAAACGTCAAAAACCACCGTGACCAAAACGGCATGAGGGCAGGGGGAATGGGGGGGGGATTGACAAAGTGCTCAACATTTGTAGCCATTTTAATTAGCTTTAATTAGTTGTAATAAAAATATGACATTTTACCGATAAAATTACATATCCCAGCATAAATGCAGTGTGCAGCTGTGACACTTTGAGTTCAGTCATTTTCATTAAGAGGTTTCAAAATGCCTTGCGAACGGTGGCTTTGCCGTGCAACCACTTTGCGCTGCTCCAGTTTTCTGCTCGGTGGTGCATGGGAATTAGCTGCTGTCTTTCACTTTCATTGTGCAGTGTGCATACCTGTAGATATGTTTTTAAGCATTAAGACCTGCTTACCTGTGTGGAGAACACCGTTCAAAGCAGAGAGGTGACTTTTAACAATACTGTATTTGAAAGATTTACAATGTTAAAACAATTCCATCACCCTGACGCATTCTTTTTCAAAATTTTCGTGCAGCAGGCTATACTGAGCTTGCAAACTATGGAAGCTAAATATACTGGCTATTCTTACACCAATTTCAATAAACGAGGGTAAATCATGAACGCAATTGCATTGCTGGGTGGACAGGTGAAGGGATTTAGGATAGTTACCCACCCAGAATGAGTCGATGGGCAGGTCGTGTATGGAGGGATACATGCAGCGTGGGCACTCCCACTTTTTCCAAGACATCTGGTTAATATGGAAGAGTAGACCAAATACCACCTCGAGGGGCCCTCGAGGTTGCTCTGGTGGAGGCCCTTCTGGCAGCAGTGGCTTTAGCTAACAAATCCAGGGCTGCACTTTTACGTTTGATCGCTTTACACGCGAAAAGCGGTTTGCATCGTATCTCTTCTCAAACGTTTGAAAGGGCACCCTCAATGGCAGCTGTCCCTGTGGGCACCAAAGCGATTTAGCACTGGCCTGCGAGCAGGCATCCATCTGCCAGCAGGGGGTGATGATTGCTATGTAATGCCAATTGAATAATTTGTTGGTAATTTTCTAATTTGGAAAATTTAGACGCATGACCATGACACAAAATGACCTACTCATTTCGAAAACCGTCCACTGTGAAGATGGCACGCATTTTATGGTTAATACACGCCACAGTAATAACTGCCGCTACCTCCCGAGTTTGAACTGTGAACCTCTTAAGTAAGTGACGAACGCACAACTGCTAGGCCACGTCAGTGATTAACCCGCTTAACCTAAAGCGTGCAGCATGCAGCTACTGAAAGCTACGGCGGATAGATGTGGAATCAATAGAATAAGATTAATTCAGAATCAGTGGTGACGCGTCAGGGGACACAGAGGATGAAAGTGTGCCCCCATACTTTAAACACCAAATCCCGCAATCACCACGAACAGCAGTTGAAAACAACACAAATAACAACAAAAAGCAAATATACTGCAGGCAGAAGGGAAACTAGAGATGCATTAAAACAACAATATTTATTCTTTGTCAATTATACCGACAGAATAATCCAATTGCCTGGAAAGAAATGCCATCTAAATGTGCTACCATTGACAAGCTATTACGACAGCATGCCCCCACTATCATAACTTACGCTGTAGTGCTAATGAGACTGGCCTCTTTTGGCACCGCTCACAGCTGCTGGTGGGTTACAGATGATGATCAGATTATCATGCAGCTCCACCATCTCCCCAAGCTGCAGGGCT